CTTAGCCTTCAGGAAGAATCCCATCTCATTTTACCAGAAAGGGGACAGCAATGCGCCAGGCTTACGTGGCACAAAAAAAGAACTTTTAGCATCTACGTTTGTTAAGAATTATTTGATGAAGCTGGGCGTTGCTTCATCAAGCAGGACCCCTGAAATTATAACCCTCCTAAGTCTGGAGGCCTAGATAACCGTATTTTTGGGACTATAAGACGCACCACCGGGTTATAAGACACACCACGATTTTGAAGAGGTAATTTTTTTTTAAAAACAAGTTTTTGCACTCTGCAGACCTTGATTTTTGCAAAAAAAAAAAAAAGTGGGGGGCATGCAGAAGCTTAGGGAGGCTTGTAGAGTGCTCCTGGGGGGCCGGGACAAAAAGGGCCCATTTCTTGCTCATTTTTGCCCTCCCCAATCCACAGGCACTCTCTGAAACCCTCCCAAACCCTCTGCACATCCATTTTTGCAAAGGGGATGCGGTTTCGGTAGGCCACAAATGCTGTATTCAGTGTGTGAGACGCACCCAGATTTTCACCCTTTTTTTTTTTGAGGGAAAAGGGTGCGTCTTATACCCCGAAAAACACAGTAGTCTAGGATGCTAAATTTGGGGTTACTGAATTATTTATTACTGCTGCTTCGCTTGTGGAAAGAGCCAGAAAGCGGCTCTTTCCATTCCCATCAACTTCTGCCCTGTTTTTCTTGATTTTTTTTCCCCCTTGTACCTCGTGAGTTCCGTGAGAGAAGTTGAGACGGGCCACGTTCATTCCAGCTTTAATCATTTCTTTCAGCATTTCTACTGACCGAGAAGCCGGACCTAAAAAACAAAGAGATAAAACGTTTGTGAGCGGAGACCCATTTTTAAAATCCCTACCTCCTTATCAAGCTAAGACCATACGCTTCCTCTGCAAGTTTCTAACTCACTTTACTTGGCAAGTATCCGGTTTCCTCGTTTTAAATAAATTACATGAAATTAAGTTGTCTGGAATGGTAGAGGCTCTCACGAAGGAAAGCAAATATGTGTATCCAAGGAGAATGAGGCAAGATTAAATTTGGGTCAGTCACCTGGACTATAGGCTTACATTTTCCGAGCTTTCGGTCTCGTGCTGGAGCCCATCTTCAAGGAATTTTCTCTCGACTGGAGTATGTGCTTTGTGCTGTTCTGTGAGTGGCGTTTAATGATTAAGGCACCACATGAATGCAACTCACAGAACAGCCCAAGGCACATATTCCAGTCGAGATAACATTCCCTGTAGATGGGCTCCAGCACGAGTTTGAGTGAAAGCTCGGAAGAGTAAATCTCTGCTCCAGGTGACCTACCCAAAGTTGATCTGGTATAGGATCTCCTGCCAGGGGTTGGGAGTAGAACAGGGGTTGGCAATCTTAAACACTCGAAGAGCCATAAATGTCCTAACCGGAAGCCCTCCATTCAATTCTGGAGCTGACCAGAAGCCCAGTTCCCCCACCACAGAGTCTCCTCCTAGCGTGGCATCCTTTTTCCTCTGCCTATTCTAACCAAAAGCCCTATCAATTGTGGAGCCGACTGCAAAACCCGCCCTTCCTTCTGGTGTGCCAGAAGCTCCTCTCAAAATTGTGGTGTCGACCAGTGATAGGGAGCCACAGCAGAGAAATAAAAGAGCCACATGCGGCTCCAGAGCCACATGCGGCTCCAGAGTCACAGATTGCCGACCACTGGACTAGAAGATCTCCAAGCTCCCTTCCAACTATTAAATGGTAACACTCAGCGTGCCCAACTTCCTGAAGAGGTACGTCAATGGATTAATTTGAAGATGTTCCAGGAATGAGATTTTAATTGGAAGTCTCTTAGCTAGATGGACTTTCGATATATGAACTGAGCCAACACACAGGAGTGTCCCAGAAGGGAGGGGGAAATGAAAGTAGGAGAGAGGGTAAGGAGAAGAAGAGAGTAGTAGGGGAAAGAGAGGGGAAGAAAAAAAAGGAAGGAGAGGAGGAAAGAAAAAGGTAGAGAAGGGAGGGTGAGAAGAAGGAAGGAGTAGGGTTGTTGCAAAACAAGATGGAGGTACGAGGTGGCAAGAAAGTGACCCCAGATGTGTTTTCTATACTTGTAAGAAGATAGTGATAAATGTTAATAGTTAATAGATAAATGTTAACAGTATCTACAAGAATGTATATTTGTGAAAGTATAGGAAAGGAAAAAATAAGAAACGTTATGCCATACAGGAGTGTCCCAAGACATACACAATTCGAGGGCTCGTCCCTAACTTACCGATGGTGCAGATAATGCCAGTGTTTCTTGCGGTGATTGGTGGGGAATCGATGTCCAATCGGCACATGTGTTCCAAGAAAGTGTCTGCAGAGGCAGCATAGAGCTGCTGGTTCTGGATGAAAGCATCACAGGTAGACATGGTTGCTGAGAGTTGATATCTAAAGAAAGAACACCAAAGTTATAGTAATGAATTAACATTCAAGAGCCAGTGCACCAAAAGTTCTATCTCTACATGTTCCATGCACAGAATTCTCAGAAATACTCCACTTTGAGGGCGAGAGAGGGGACCCTTTCATTTGGGAGGCGTTTTCAACCTGAAACAAGAGTAGTCTGAACTCTGAATGTCTCTTTTGGTCTCTAGGCGTTCCATTTTGTCCTCGTAACAGGAGTTCTGTATTCAAGGATAAAGCATTTTAATACTTTTTAACATGGTGGTTATTTTAATAAGTGCTAGGAAAAAAAGAAAGCAGAAATTGGGAAAATAATATTATGTCTACTGAAATATAACAGGACACATTATGATTACCATGTGTACACAAATCTTCAAAGTTGAAAAAGTATGATTATGTCTATTTAAATGGTAATATCACTATCAGAATTGTATGCAATGTATTGACCCAGATAATATACTGTTCACTAAGCACTTATGGATGTTAAAGGAAAAAATATATAAATAAAATTATATTTATAAAAAAGGATAAAACATTTTATGAAGTCTCAAGAGGTTAACAATTGCCTCCCCAATTCATCATACGTTTGTTTCCTATTTATTTATCTTCTTCCGTTTTTCCGCTTAGGAAGGAGGTGGAGCAAATTTAGCATAATCCAAGGGGGGGGGAGGAGGGGGGAAGAACCATAAATGAGCTACTCCTCTCTAAACTGTAATTCCATGTAACAGCCCATGCACCATGCTGCACCAGTCCACATCCACGATCCAAGCCCAGATAGGACTAGGAGTAATGGAGAACCTGGGTGTAGTCTCATAGGCCTTTCTGCCGAATGAAAGGCAAAAATTATGGCAAATATATAAACTGAATCACTTCCGAGACAGGACTGCAGCACTTAAGTGTAAGTAAATAAATCTTCAAAGGGCTATGCAAATGTTATATTTTAAGAGAACTCTTAAATTGCCCATTGATGTAGCCACCAGTAGCTACAAATTCTCACTAACAATAGGTTGGGGAACTCAGAGTACATATTGATAAATTCTTGGGGAATTTTATGACTTTTAGAATTTTTTCATCAAGGTCAAACTATATGTTTAATCTGAAATAACTGCCATATTGAATTGTACAACATAAAGGCAGGATATACATCTAATAATTAATGTGTAACATTCACGAATTAAAGCAAAGTTAAGTCTAGCTCTATACACCTCAGAGGCCAAACACCCTCAAACATAAAAGAGCATTTTGGTTCACAGTCAAGATGTCACAACTCAGCCTTGCAAATTCAGAGAAGGAAATGAGAAGAATAAAAAAAGATTAAGTAAGACACGTTTAAGAATTACATTTCCCTAGCATAACAAACCAACACCCAGATTCACTTTGGGGAGAGCTTAAGCAACTAACGCCATCACTTAATAATGATTTCTCAGTTTTAAACAGGGGTCCCCAAGCTGCCAGGAAAATCCGCTGTTGCTTCTGAATCCAAGGGGAAACCTTCTGAATGCTGTTATCCCAGGGCTTCAGACTGACTCGGCTTTCAGCTCTGGAGCTCCACCCTGTGCTACGTGCAATTTTCCCCGTGCGCATGGCTTTAAAGTAATAGAGCCCCTGTCTCCGCAGGGGCCTTAGTCAAAGCTAGCTCTTCAACGTCATGGAAGATGCTGCTTGCTTTCAGTTAAGTACCACAATGGAGAACCTTTTTTTAATTCAGCGGAGAAGCACGTGGGGGTCTTCCTGTGTACGATACTAGGAAATCCCATGCGGCTGGATGCCCGAGGAGGCAGCCATTCTGCAGTGGCATAAAACATTTCCTGCTTGTTCCAATTATTTACAGAAAGTCACTGATGCTAGCTGTTCTCCCCGAGCTCCATCAATTCACCTTTGGGGGGGGATGAGAAAAACAGGTGCTGGGAGTTTACAGGTAAAGCTTTAAAGGAGGTTTTACTTAAGTTCACTTCGATATAAACTAAGAAGGAAGATTTTGTGCAAATGCCCCGGAGCTTTAGTAGGAAAGAGACATGGCCAATTTTTGTTGCAATTCAGGAGGATACTTGCAATTGTTAAAATTGTTAATTGTCAGTTTTGCACAAATCTGGGGAGGAAGCAGCATAGATTTAATATATCCTTTTTTTCTTTCTTTCCTGCAATCTGCAATAAAAGTGTGCCTTTAACACAGCTCAATCGATTTTGGAAATATGAGTATGTAAGAGATACCCACAGTTGCTACTACAAGTTGGCAAATATTACAGGCGGTGATTCAAGCATCTGCAACCCGATGTTTAATGGGGGAGGGGCGGAGAGGATATCCCGTTGCAGAAAGTTGATTTAGGCTAGTGAGGCCACAATACAAGCCTTAACCTGAGAGGCACAGCCCACAATATGTGAACTGTTAAAAGCAGGAATCGTGTGACAATCTGCAAAATCACACTTTATGAGTTGTTTTCCAAAGGCTAAATTAGATAAGGAACAGCACAAAAGGATGCAATGCTATAAAACATGTTTGTTAACATTCCAATCGCTTATGATCTTCTGCACAAAGGAAATGGGGGCTCCAAATTTGAAAATGCATGGGTTTTCTGTAGGCCCTAAGATTTGAAGTGACCCGTTTTTAGCTGTTTGTACCATTTTACTTTTTCCTTTAAAAATTAAATTAAACCACTACTAGGAAAGCCAAACGGAACAGAGGATACCAACCAGAACAAAACAAGCTCTGGCTAAATTTAGGGACTCTGAATGTTCGCTGCATCATGTGTCTTGAATCTTTGCTGCGCCCGGCTGCTAAACTGGCAGCCAGTTGCTACTGCATCTTATTTGCATCCTATGCACCAGTTTTCACAGCAACCATGTTTCAAGCCAGGCGTGCTACAGAAAACTCAGGCTTTGAGCACATCTGAAGCAGGCAACTGTGCTTTCCTTCTTCCTTTGAGTATATTTATCATTTGATTCACCAGCAATGTACTGACCCCCGCCGTTCTGTTAAAAAAAAACCACTGTCAGCCTTCATTTCAACTTGTGTTTCTTAAATTGGCATTCCCAGAACCTTTGATCAAGAGTAATGGACTATTACCATGGAAGCCTCTTTTATTATTTATCTCCCAAAATTCACGTAGCGTGAGAGTAGGGTACCAGCCTGGGAAAGGGCGGTGGTGGGGGAAGGGTAAAAGCATGCTTGCTAGAAGTTGGCCAGATGTGGATGCTCTCACATTTGTCCCCCCCCCCCAAAAAAAACTCTCATATTAATGCAATGCAATATGAGTCTAGACCAGGGGTATCCCAACCTTGGAAACTTTTAAGACTTGTGGACTTCAACTCCCAGAATTCCTCAGCTAGCTTTGCCAAGTTGATCTAGAAAGCTTATACAGCACTTTAATTTGGCAGCAATCCCCATGCTATTTTGTTAATTGGTAATATCAAGATTAAGATGCAACAGCAAAGATCTACTTGTTAAAATTATTCTGCCCAACCGTTATTCTGCCGTGTCATTTCCTCCTTCTGAATAAGGAGCATTGCATCACATTTCTACCATCTGTCCACATTTAATATTCATCCCTCCCTTTAGGTCTTTAGGAACATTGGGAGGCCTTGGAGATGGGGGGGGGCGGGGGACGGAAGCCTGATTTCATGGAAAATTTGGGTGGCTGTGGCTTCTGAACCACACACCCAAGTTTGAAGGGGTAGGAAGATCCGTCGGGTGTGATGAAGCATCTCCCCATCAACCCTCAGGTTCTCTGCCCCAGATTCTTAGCACGTGGCCTTTAAAAAGAATGGATGCTTTGAAGACCCTCACTCAACTGGGGGAAGATTGCAATTTAACTGAGATATAACTCTGCACTAGGCTGGGTACCTTGAAATAAGCGGAGGTTAGTTTTGCACATGGAAGGAGACTTTGCATTTAATATTTTGTGCGTTTTGCCCTGGGAGGGTGGGAAAGGACAAAGGGGAAAACCGTTGTGAAGACCAGCTTGTGCAGCATCACAAAAGATTCTGGAATGTATCTGGCAAGAGCAAACAGTAGCAAAATGAGCCTGGAGAGTTCAACTTTATTTCTGACAATGGAAGGTAGCAATTTCCTATTTTATTAAGACAGATGTGTCCCTGGGGCAGTTTTTGTGCACTGCCTACCTTAATCTGGTACCCTGGATGACTATAACGTCCATAATCTTCAACCACCATGGCCTGCATTTGAAGAGAGCCTTGAAGGCACCAAACTACAGAAACCTGCTTTACTGCTAAGTCATTTTAAGCTAATATTCTATGTTACATCTGGACCTGATCTTTCAACCTTTTGAAAAATACTGCCCAGAGCATCTGTCGACCTTGTTCCCTTTCGTAAGGGAGGTTCAGTCTGACAAACCCTTCTCACCAGTAAATTTCAAAAGTTACGAAGGCAAATGTTTCTGAAGCTTGCCTACTTGAAGACACATGGACTTCAATTCCCAGAATCACGTCTGGCTGGGGAATTCTGGGAGTTGAAGTCCACATACATGAAAATGACTCAGGTTGAGAAGCACGGTGCTCTCAAACCTGGTTTGGAAGAGTTACGCAAAACACATTTCGGGGAAATGTAGAAGGAAGATTTGCCTACTATTCAAGAATGGACATTNTTGCCCTTCCTTCCTCCCTCCCTCCTTGTGGCTAGAATGCAGTATTGCAGGTTAACTGCCGACTGCCAGCAGTTCAATCCTGACTGGCTTAAGGTTGACTCAGCCTTCCAAGGTGGGTATAATGAGGACCCAGATTGTTGGGGACAAGAGGCTGACTCTGTAAACCGCTTAGAGAGGGCTGTAAAAGCACTGTAAAGTGGTATATAAGTCTCAATGCTATTGCTAATACCCAAGAGACTCTGTTGCCCCACATTCAAAGACCACACAAAAGCAACATCTCTGGAAGGGGCAGAAAGTCATCGCTGATACTCCCCCCCCCCCCAAATGTCTTGCCACCTCACCGGAACTGGATGGGTGGAACTACCAGCATGGCAGTGGAAGATTGGACAATGTGATGGACTTGTGGGTGTGGGGGCAAGATCATGAACTTTAACTTGGGTGAGGAAAACTGAGAAGCTTCAGATTCGGGTTTTCCCAGATGTGCCAGTATGGCTCTCTTAATAAATTGAGTACTACTTTTGAGTAGTACTTTTGCCTTGGACTCTGATTTAATTTTGGATTTTATTTGGAACGCTGGCAGAAACCCACTTACCCCTTTGATGAGCCCAGTTCGAATCTCAGGTCCCTTAGTATCCAGGGCAACAGCGACGGGTCTGTAGGAAATTGGATCTGAAGCAAAGCTTTCGGTAGCTTGTCTTACATTCTTGATTGTTCCTGCATGATACTAAGAGAGGAACATGCAAGCATTAGGTCATGATGAGCAATGGTCTGGTTAGTTTAATCTCGCTGTCTCAATTTGCTAAATACCATCCATTAAACCCACATCTAGGGTTTTGGTTTTGGCTGGGAGAATTGGTTTATGCATATCTTTGAACTTACCAACGCACCATTGGATATAACTCAAGTTAACAATCAATCCAAGATCCCCCAAGAGACTATTTCAATTAACTACTGACGCACCCAAACTCTGCTAATGTTTTATTCTGATTTGCACTGCCAGATTCTAAACATATTCTATAAATAAAATAACAAGAGTTGGAAGGGACCTTGGAGGTCTTCTAGGCCAACCCTCTGCTTAGGCAGGAAACCCTACACCACTTCAGACGAATGGTTGTCCAACATCTTAAAAACTTCCAGTGTTGGGAGCATTCACAACTTCTGGAGGCAGTTCTGATTAATTGTTCTAGTTGTCGGGAAATTTCTCCTTAGTTCTAAGTCAGTTAAGGAAGATTTAAAGAAGGCAATGAATCAGTAGTTGATTTAGATTTGGTAACTATTGCATATACTTATACTTGAAGATAAACCCATTTGTGGGCAAGCTGACTGTTTAACTAAAATATCATGAAAAATATACCATCTGCAGTTAAGGTGAGGCTTGAAATCTTTACGTTTTTTACAATTGCCTCATGGTATTTTAATTAAAAATGCATGGGTCAGCCTATCTCAATAGGCTTAAGTAAGCAAGTATATAAGAGGACTTTTACCACCATGTGTGTGTGTGTGTGTG